CCCCCCTTTTCATGTTTTAGCATTACATAAGAAAAACCTGGCCACTCTTCTTAATAACCTTGTGAAGGTATGACTTTACAAACAAACATATATTGTAGGACTTCACATAAACCACTGGACAAAGTTAAGATCCGCCCTGAGGTGTGACCTGTGTGCTAACCCTAAACAAGCGGGCTCTGTCCCCATCAGGCCATGAGTCATTCAGGACATGGACTTTGGAGAAGACAGCAGGATCTCTGAATATTTAGGAAAGCATGAGATTCTTTCTCTGTCTGGAAACACAGATGACCTTTGTCTCCCTCTCACACACACTCTCAAACATACACAAATGCTCACACACACAATGTTGTGGGAAACACACTGTGTTGGCCGGCTCGAGCGTCCAGATGGTCTTTCACCTTCACCCCAGTTAGAGGAACTCTGGCCAGTCAGCTGGAATCCCTCATTCCCCTTATGCTGCACACACTCTAGCCCGGTTTCAAAACCTCAGCTTGAGTTTATGACAGATATACAAAACATTTGTAACTCTCAAAAACTCATAACCCCCCTCAAAACTCATAACACAAATACAAAGTGGTAAAATACTGATCAACCATATAGTTTTTTGTTTTGTTTTATACAAACAAACTAAAGGGAAAATAAAAATATCTGCTCTTTTCCATAGAAGTTTAACATTTTATTTCTAAAATGTGTATCCACATGAGTGAAATAAGCCTCTTTTTTTTCTCTTTAAATACATATTCAGGAAATTTCTTAATTTATAATTGCCCTATAAAATGTCAGAAAATAGTGAAACCCGAGTTTTTCAGTGTACAGGGTAATGCCCTCAAATGTTTTGTCCAACCAACAGTCAGAACAAATACTCCCTTTACAACGATATTAAAAAAGGTGAAAATACTCTCTATTGAGAAACTATTATTGAGGATTTTTTGATTTGATAACATCTTTAAGTGTGTGTTGCTCCCACAAAAACAAGGCTGAGGTCCTTCTTGTGAGCAGCTATTTAACAAAGGTCTCTTCCCCTCAGGCCCCAGCATGGGCCTTCATCATGAGTGCTCTGGGCCTCTTCATCTACCAGTCTCTGGACGCCATTGATGGGAAGCAGGCAAGGAGGACCAACAGCAGCTCGGCTCTGGGCGAGCTCTTCGATCACGGCTGCGATGCCGTCTCCACAGGTGCTCTACTCAACCCAAACTATTATTGCTTGTGTCTTATTAAGACTATTTAGAACCAGCTGCAGGGAGGTATATTCATTATTTGTCTTTTCTGTCTTTTGTCTTCAGTCTTTGTTGCTGTGGGATCATGCATTTCATGTGGAATAGGACAATACCCAGACTGGATCTTCTTCTGTGGTTTTATCGGGATGTTCATGTTCTTCTGCGCACACTGGCAGACCTACGTGTCCGGGACCCTCCGCTTCGGCCTGTAAGTCCCACGTTCCGGAGAATCCAGCAATACAAATGCTATGAAACCATTACATTGTTATTAAAAGCTATACCCTCACTCTTCTCTGTCACTTCCCCCACAGGATCGACGTCACAGAGGTGCAGATCGCCATCATGGCCATGTATTTGATGTCTGCTTTCGGGGGCGTGAGCCTTTGGCAATGCACGGTAACGGAGGACCCAACACCAACAGAAACTCTTTCATTTCACTTAATTTAGCAAACCTTTTTCTTCTCCCTTAGTTTTCACACCCAACAACTATCTAATCACTTCCTAGTTTTTAGTCGTCATTCTAGCTCTTAAATAGAATTTGTGTTTTACCTTTACTCTGTGCTGCCTCTGGAGGCTTGACTTAACGTCACTTGAGAGAAGGTAAATATCGGTAGCTAACGCCATGGCAACAGGTCATCTATTAGACATGGTCTGGCTTAAAAAGCTGATGATGTCATCAGCATTTATTTTTTGTTGCTTTGCCCTCCCATCACGCTCGGCATGCTTGCGGCTTTCATAGGAGCACATTTCTACTTGGAGAGTTTGTGTCTCTTCACTAATTTGATGTGTTTCCGTAGTTGCCCCTCATCGGAGTGAAGATGTACGTCTTCCCCGTCATTGGCATCTGCGGCGGGGCCTTCTACTCCTGCTACAACTACTTCCATGTGATTTTGAACGGAGGTATTGGCAAAAACGGCTCCACTGTGGCTGTAAGTCAACACACGTATTCACGCTTTTATAGCAGATGTGATATTGCGATGCATGCTCAACATAATTTCCTTCTGTTCAGGACACCAGTGTGCTGAGTCCCAGTTTGCACATCGGCCTCATCCTCGCGCTGGCCTTCATCATTTTCAAGAAGTCGTCCAGCGAGCTGTTCGAGCACCACCCCTGTCTGTACCTGCTCGCCTTTGGCATGGTCATCTCAAAGATCTCCAACAAGCTGGTGGTACGTTCATCTTGTCTTTAAGTTCTAATAATAATGATTTCGGTCATCGGTGTTATGGCAGCACCCGTGGTTACCATGGTCCAATCAAAGGCTAGGAATATTGGACCTACACTGACTTAAATACCTAGTTCTGGTATTGGTAACAAAGAGCTCGATAAACCAATTTTTTTGTCTTGTATTTTTTCATGTTTCATCTGTTGTCTTTACTGAGGGACTTTAATACAGGATTTATTTAACCAGTGTTTTATATCCCTCGTGTATCTCTGTAGGTCGCACACATGACCAAGAGTGAGCTGTGCCTCCCGGACACGGCCTTCATCGGCCCCGGGCTCCTCTTCCTCAACCAGTACTTCAACAGCTTCATCGATGAGCACATAGTCCTCTGGATCGCCATGGTCAGTGTTTGACACTTGTATTGTAGTATTAACGCCTCATTCTTTTTGAAAGGGACCAACTCTAGCTACAGTTAATTTGAGTTTGTCCTATTCAGTTTAGACTAAAAATGATGTAGAAAAAGGCCAGATTTGATTCCTGAAATGTGGAAAAGGACTTGTTTTTTTATTCCATAGGGCTGTGTAAAATGCAGAATGTGAATCGCTAAATAACAAGTAGGGTCCTAGCAATGTTCACTACAGCTTGCAGGTTATGTTTGAGCACAGTCAGCACTGTGTGACTTTCACCTCTAGCGATCTAATCAGAGAGCCATAATGGATTAAGTTCAAAGTTCCTTTAAGGCCGATGAGATGACTTGACGTAAACCTTCTTCCATGATGCTTGTTAATTCATCTGGCTTCGGTTTAATACTGTAAGCTTTGACATGAAAGGATAAGGTCAAAAACAGGTTAAATGCACCGTTCATAATACTGTGATTTGCAGGGTGAATGTGGTAAAGTAGTACTAAGATAAGCATAACAGTTGGCAAATCTTCACTACTTGAGGTTCCAAAGTGCATGGAAAGAAGAGTGAAGAGGTAAAACTTTAACAATTGTATTTTGGACCAACGTGTTACTGCCTGTACATTTTATCAAAAAGTTAGGTTAGCCAAGACATGCTGGCAGTTTTCTTTTTAAAGCGGTTTGGTTGCATCACTTAAAGACGCACCCACACAGGTGTGACGGGTTCTTCTGGATGATTAGACCTCAAATCGGCACAGGTGTGTCCAGTAACATTAATTGCACCCAGTACTGTGTATGCTGGCTCACTGGGATACTAACAAGGATTAGGGGACATTGTTAATGTTATCAGTTACACCTGTGATTTTCCTACTAAGAAAAAGCAAAAGGAATGATAAAGGTGTTAGTAGTTGACCAAGGTTTAATCAGGTATATTAAAGGTGGGGTATGTAATTTTGGAGAAACCAGCTCAAGTGCGCTAGAATTTGAAAATACACAACCGGAAGAAATCTGGGAGAAGCGGGGGAGAAGCGAGGGGAGGACGGGGAGGAAGGGGGAGCAGGGGCAAAGCAGCGCAGGCGGACCGAGAGGGAGGAGAGCCGACAGAGGGCTAGGAAGAGGCGAGGACGAGCGGAGAGTCACCGGTGTTTGGGTGGAGGTCGACAAAAAATTTATGAAGGGGTCAGGGTGTCAGGAATGGGGGTGTTGAGGAAAATTCCGCAAAAGTCAACTTAGACATGGAGGGGGATGGAAGTGATGAAGTCGGGAAGGCCCTCGTCGGCGGCGTGCGGCAGGCATCAGCTCACAATGAGCGAGGAGTCCGCGGGGCGGCGAGAGGGTCGCCGACTGCGCAGCGGACACAAAGCTCAAGAAAAAGCGCGAAGCGTTATACGCGGCGCATTGAGCGCGTTTTTGTGACTTTAAGTTTTGCAAACATACGGCTCCGGACTATCTGTTCGGCGAGGCAGGTGACAGGAGGGGCCTCTGGATGGGCGCCCCATCGGGGCAGTGTGATTCGCGCAACGGGGGGCCACACGGGGCAGGGTGGAAGCGTTTGGAGAGACCCTATGGATAGGAAGCCCAAAAAGGAAGAAAGGTAGGACACGAGAAGATGCGGACTGGAAGTACGTGCGAAGCTCAGTGAGGGTAGTATAAAGATAGTGAGGGGGGATTTAAGTCGTGTGAGAAGGTCGCATTGAGGGCGGGAAGACGGATACCCGTATATAGGTTGCCGAAGAGGGGAGGAAACGTCAAGATAGATAAATACGATAAGCATGGTACTGATGGTCGAAAAGGGGTTGTGTAAGTGGCGTCTGATGTACGGAACGATAAGACCGCGGGTGGATATTCAGGGACAATGTCGGAAAACCAGAAACGAATGCGGCCATTCGTCCCGCCATCTGACAGGGGTGAGAATTTTGGAAAGTAAAGAAGACGGGACGTTAAGACAGTTGAATTTGATACAAACCGATGTTGTCGGGGACGCGCTTTAACGGGCCCTTCGAGACCAAGGCACAAGAAGAAAAGCAAGGTATAGAACTAGGTACGAAGAGAAAAAGGAAAAAAAACCAAACATCCACGGGAGCGAGAGGCCAAGAACAAAGAAAAAACACGCGCCGGAAAGGGAGCGGACACCAAACACCGACGGCACCGAGCGGCGCGCCGCCAAAGAGCAAGGCGGACGAAAGCCTCGCCGCCGCTCCAGACGCAGCGGAGAGCGCGCGCCCGGTTGGCGCAGAGCACGAACGGGGCACCGAGACGCGGCACGGACGAGCTTGGAGCCGACGCGGCTAGCCGTGGCCGGCTAGACCTCCCGGCGAGTGCAGGCGCACGCTCTAGTTGATGCTCGGCTTCCAGGACCGCCTGCTACCGGCCCGCGAGTCTGTAGGGCCGAACCGATGTTATGAGATATTGAAGTGGCCCGGACCCCCTCGACCCCTTAGGGCCCCTGAGGTCGTAGACGTAGAGAGTATACGAAAGATATAATATGGGGACCGATGATGAGTAGATCATGAGGAGAATGAAGATGAATATATGATAGCGAACAATAATATGATGATATAGCAATATATATATGGATGATATGCAATCATCATGTATATCATGAGGAGATATGGATATGCATATGGATGAATGATACTCGTTAGGTCTTAGTTCGAAATTATCGGTCCATGGCGAATGGTATGTTGGCTTAACACGAAACCGACAGACGACCACGCTTGGATGTGGGTAGCATTCGGTGCGCAACGTTAGTCAGGCCACAATTTTTGTCATGATTTGTAGTTCATGAAAAATTCTTTGTTTCGATAAATCGTAAGTTGTGTTTGATGTGTTTTCGTGGCCACTCACATCCAGTCCGTGCGGAGCGTTTGTTGGCCGGAGCTGGGCATGGTGAAAAAGTAATATAAGGTGACGCGAGCGAGAAAGGGTAGGCGGAGCGGGACGAGAATTGCACCGAAACGTGAGGGAGGCGTATTCGGTTGTGGCAGTGAGACACCTGGTCGCGCCGAGCATAGCATTTTTGTTGGTTAGTAAAATCCGGCCGGGCCGATTTTTATTGACCCACCGGGATGGGACGGACAGTAGGAGGTCAGACACGTGTTTGAAATAGAGCACGGGAGTAAACCAGTACACGCGGCGCAAGCACACACAACCCTCGCTCCCCCGAGACATG